TCCCTTTCCTACCACTCAATCCTTCTTCTTCCCATTGTCCTTAGGCCCTCATCAGAGTACAGGATGCAGCTGCCTGCACAGCAGAAAGATGGGAAGGAGCTGGGAGAAGCCAATGAGGTCATCCCAGCAAAAGTGAAAGGCTTCAGCTAGTGGTCCCTTTCCAGATGAGCTACAGAAAAAGGCACCAGGCAGCAGGCTTGCCAGCATGGCGCTAACCATGAGGTACAGAAGTCAGGCTTCAGAGGTGGAAAGATCCAGATTCAAGCTCCAGCATCTGCCACTGATTCACTTTGTCCCTCAACAAGCTTCTTTTCACCTCTGAGCATCAAATTCCTCCTTGACTAGAACAAGGATAAGATGGCTGCCTAGTGAGGCAGTGCGAATTGCCTCATTGCAGTGCGAATTAACACAAAAATACCTGATCCCTAAGTATTTAAGCACGTTTTTTATGTCCCTCTCCCCCTTCACCCATACCGAAGCATCAAGAAAGATAATGCAAAAGAGGGGTCTTCACTTTCTATTAAGGGAAGCTTCACTTTCTATTAAGTAAATGGAGATGTATTCCCACAACTGAGACAGAGACATCATCAAAATCATATGTAAGGCTGGGGATGTAGTTCAGTGGTTAAGTGATTACCTGGCATACGTGAGTCTTTGGGTTCGATCCCCAGTACCACAAAAAAAAATCACATTTAATAAGTATACAACGAATCATATTTAATAATTTATCAGCACATTAATGGATCAACTGACATTTATTGAGCACTTACTATATGCTTCAGGCATATTACTTCTGCTTAGCTACTCTGTGAGTTAGGTACTGCCAGGGCCAGACTGACAGTGTGTGACCAGGTGCACAGAGGACTGATGGAACAATGGAGCATATGGTAGATGTTTGGAGCCCCAGCTCTCACATGATTATGCCTTTTGGTCATAATGATGGGTTCTCAAGTACCTGTTTCTTCCCTCCCCAACACCCCACACACACTTCCCTGATCCTGTGGGACTAGATGCAGGCCTAGGAAGAGGAAGGGAAAGTGTATCCAGTCATGTGACAGGGTCCTACACCCCTGTGATAGTCTGCACTCACCTTGTATCACCAGGAACACAACAATGAATAGTGAATTGATAGGTACAGAAAAATAGCCGGGAAGGAGCTTTTTTTTCTGTTTTTTAAACTGAGGCCTTCAAACAGAAATGCTTTGGTCCCCATAAATTAGGTAGCCAGTCCTGAATACTGTTATTATGACCACTTCACAAAAGCAGATACTGAGGCTCAGAGAGGTTTAGTAATTTGCCCAAAATCACACAGCTGCCAAGTGGCAGCATTCAAGAGCTTAGATCCCTAGCCAAGCACCAGTGGCTCAAGCCTGTAATCCTAGCTACTTGAGAGGCAGAGATCAGGAGGATCACAGTTTCAGGCCCTTCTGGGCATACAGTTTGTAAGACCCTATCTCAAAAATACCCAACACAAAAAAGGGACTGGTGGAGTGGTTCAAGTGGTAAAGCTCCTGCCTAGCAAGTGTGAGGCCCTGAGTTCACCTACTACCACCAAAAACAAAAAACAAAGAAACCTTAGATCCCAGAGAAAGGATTCCAAGATTTTAAGGTACTTCAGCCCAGAAATTAGGAAACCTGCATCCAACTTCTGACCATGACCTTAGGCAAGCTGCCCATTCTGTTTCATTTTTCCCAAGTGAAAACATTCTGTGAAGTCTTCCAAGGTAGCACAGGTCTCAAGATTTGGCTCTGCCATTTATACTGGCTGTGATTTTTTTTTTTTTTTTTTTTTTTTTTTTTTGGTGGTGGTGGTGATACTGGGGTTTGAACTAAGGGCTTCATGCTTGCTAGGTAGGGGTTATACCACTTCAGCCACTCTGCCAGCTTTTGTTTGTGTTGAACATTTTCAAGATAAGGTTCAAGAACTATTTGCCCGGACTGGCTTCACACCTCAATCCTCCTAATCTCTGCCTCATGAGTAGCTAGGATTATAGGCATAAGCCACTGGCCCCAGGCTCTGGCTGTGATTTTGAGCACAAGGAAATCATCTTTGCCCCTCCTTGCAAATGCCAAGAGCATTTGCAAATGACAGTCACCCACCCTGAATGACATGTCACAGCATATGAAGCACTTTCAAGCCACTTCCTTCTCCAGACAATCTTGAGCAGAGGTTGAACAAGGGATATTATTATCTATCCCCATATTACAGACAGGAATGTTGAAGTATCAGAACTTCAAAGTGACCTCCTTCAGTTCACACTGCTTTTCAGACAAGTTTTAAATAAGTTGACAGGGTCATAATATGAACATTCCCAAAGGACAAATTGGGTCATCACCTTAAGCAGTCCTGGTGAAGGAGGGCAGCACGTCCTCTTAGGACAAGAGAACTGGCTGGGTTGAGAGGGGACGTGTGGTAGCCTGATCCCTGGCCTTGAAGTCCCAGATTTGAGGGAGGAGACCAAAGAGGTAACCAAGAACTCCTGATAGAAAAGAAATACCATGTCAGTAGTGTTCAAAGAGTGACTCAGTATCCTGGAGGATGTTTACCCAACATTGGAGGGGCGTGATCTCCAGAACATAGACAAACAGGCAGAGAGGGACAGAAAGACAAATCCAGCAGAACACCAGCTCCCTGGCCAGTGCTGAGGGAGGTCACCACCCACAAAGATGGTAGGGTCTTGCTGACCAGAAGTCATTGTAGCTGGGTGGTATGCATCCTTGAACCCCATTTCCCTGGGTTCCTCAGTTCCAGGTTCCCTTAGTAGATAAAGCATCTACAGCACTGAAGGGCCACACATCCTCGCCAGCCACCTCCCTTGCCTGGGGCTTCTGATGACCACAGAATGTGTCTATGAAATGGTTCCTGAAATCAAGAACCTCACCTGTCCATTCCCAGTCCTTCGGGGAAGCACCGGTGTGGAGATGTCCAACAAAACTGTGATGATGAAATTGTACTATTCTAACCACTAGCCACATATGGCTACTGGGCAAGGGGCCAGTGATACTGAGGGACTGATTCAATATTTTTATTTCATTTTAATGAAGTTAAATGTTTACTTAACTTGTCATATGTGGATAGTGGCTACTGTATTTTTCAGTGCACTCTAGAAACAAAAAGGGACAATAAAAATGGAACAATTGCACATGATTTGGGGCTTCAAAAGCACTGTCACAACCATTTTCTCATTGTCTGTCCTGGGAAGTAAGTGTTTATCTCATTTCATGGAAGAGGAAAACTGAAGCTCAGAAAAGTTAAAACAGCTTCCATAGTGAAGGAGCTAGTACGATAGGCATGATTTAATCCCAGATCTCTTGATTCCAAAGTTCTTCCCATATCTCTATGCAACACTATCCACTTATGTAGTCATCACATATTTATTGGGTCATTGTTATTAGGTGCATACCTGTGAATTAAACACTTAAAGAAAAATCAGACACCGGACCTGGCTTTGGGTGGGAACACCCAGACAAAGGCAGTCAGTATAATTGCCACAATAAGAATGTGGGTACAAAAATTACTTTAAATGACTTTCTTTTAGGTAACCCAAAGCACTCCATTTACATCTGATGACGCCACAGTTTTTATTTCAGGCCTAAATCTCTGCCCAGAACTCTCAATAGAAGTACTGAGCAGACTACAGGACATCTCCATTTGAATAACAAATTGGCTTCTCAAGCATATCCCCAAAACTTCCCCTTTTCAGTAAATGGCAATGTTCTTTTTCCAGTTGTTCCACCCCAAGTCTCTGGGGTCATCTATGGCTCCTCTCTTTTTCATGCCTTTTTAGCTAATTCATCAGCAAATAGTGTTGGCTCTACCTTTAAGAAGCATCCAGAATGCTTGCCCTCCCCACCTATCATCTTCATCTCTAGCTGGTGGGGCAAACTGGTCTCCTGTCACCCTCCCTTCCCCTCCCTGATCGTTTTCCACATAGTCACAGTGATCTTTTTAAAACCTGAAAAGCTAGAGCATGCTCCTCTCAGCCCCCAGTGTTTTCCCAAAGTCCTCACATAAGGCCTTACAAGCTCTGGCCCAGATGCCTCTCTGATTTCATTTCCTACCGCTCTTTGCTCTTACCAGCCCACACCAGGTTTTCCTGCTCGGCCTTCCTGAAGTCATTGACCTGCTCACTCCCTTGTGTCCTCAGGACCTCTGACCCAAGATCTCCTTATTACAGAGGCACTCCCCATCACCATCACCGTATCATGTTTCAATTTGCTTATAACACGCATCACCTTCCGACATTTAATATGTTTGCAGGTTGTTGTTCTCCTCCCACAAGAGTGTAACCTGAAAGAACAGATGGGCAGATAAAATACAGGAAGCCCAGCTGAATTTGAATTTCAGATCAACAACGAATAGTTTTTCAGAATGGGAATGTGCCAGATGTTGTATGGAATCAACTTACACACACACACACACACACAAAATCACTGTTTATCTGAAAATCAAACTTGACAGGCATCCTGTATTTTTGTTTACTAAATCTGGCAACCCTGTACAGGAAGGCAAAGACGGTTATTTTGTTTATTGCTGTATTCCTAGCGTTAGAACAGTTCATGAAACGTCGCCCTCAAACAATTATTGAATACATAAATGTGTTCAAACGAGTCAGTTTGCGTTCAACGTACAACGCACCTAAACTTTTAATAAATGGCCTGCGAGTAAGAGGGATGGAACCACTAGACTAGGTTAGTACAGTTCCCAACTGCGGGCCTAGGCTTGCTGATGAACTTTCAAGCAGGTCGAGCAGCCCAGTGCTTTGCTAGTCAGATCGCCGATTCACTGCAAACAAAACTCCTTCCCAGCTCAGGTGAGCCGCCAGTCTCAGGTAGCCCTCCTGGAGGCGGAGCCTCCCTAGCCGGCGCTAGGGCCCTTTAACTCCCAGCCGCCGCGGTTCCAAGCGCGCCCTCCGCCGTGACGTCACCTGGCAGGCAACCAATAGGGGCGCAGCTTACTGGCAGGCGGTGCCGGTGGCCGCTGCCAAAGGGGAAGTGAGCCGAAGCTGGAGCGATGGCCCGGGTCTGGAGCCCGCGGCCGCCGCCGCCCCTGCTAGTGAGTCGAGAGCAGCCGGGGCCGGAGCCAGAGCGGGGTTCAGAGTCGTGGCTGGAGCGGAACCGGTGCGTGTGAGTTGCCAAAGTCGCCTGTGCCGGAAGAACTCAAACTCCGCGGGAGCGTTTCAGGCGGGCGGAGCAAGCAACCTATCCCCCGGCCAGCACCGCGTCCCCCCGGCCCGGACAGCACGGCTGGGGTTTCCCGAGGCACGGGATCGGCTCCTCCCAGGCCAGGTACTCGGAGCCAGGCTCCTTTCAAACTCAGAACGGAAGCCTGAGAACTGTATCATCCAAACCCCAGCCGGCTTCCTGGCCCCGGGATTTTCTCTGCGTTCAGACAGTGTCAGGGTTGAGCCTCTCTTGCCGCCACCACTCCAGCCAGGGACTGGCGAGTTCCCACTGTGCTCTGCGTCTCCTCCTCTCCCATTCAAGAACAAGTTTCTTTTCGCTTTCCATTGGAAATCCCGTCTCGGAGGTCCACAGTACCTACCCGGGTGTCCCTCCCCAGCTGCTGGAGCACTCTTGGTAGTACTGGCTGTTTATCAGGGCCGATTGGCTTAGCTTTTTTTGTTCTGGGAAGATAAAAGTTGCCCGTTCTCACCTAATTAACTGATACTCCATGTCCAGGGCTTTATCCGTTTGGATCACCAACTCCTTGACCCGCTCTCTGTGACTTCCCCCACCCCTCTGAGTTTCAGTTTCCTCTGGGCTCCATTCTCCAGCCCCCAGCGGATCTGGTCAGTCCCACCCCTGGGTGGGAGTGATCAGGGGGCTCTGGCCCAGGATTTCTCACCCTGGAAGGCAGCTCCAAGTCAACAAGAGAAGTGGGCCTCGGGTACGAACCTGGCAGCTCAGGAGTGGGTGCACCACTCACCCCACACAAAAAGATGAAAAAGCGCAAAGAGCTCAATGCGTTGATCGGCTTGGCTGGGGACAGAAGAAAGAAGTCTAAAAAAGGTTCAAGCAGCCATCGTCTGCTTCGCACCGAGCCACCTGACTCAGACTCCGAGTCCAGCTCAGAAGAGGAAGAGGAATTTGGTGTCGCTGGAAATCACTCTCGCTTTGTCAAGTGAGTGATGCAGTAGTGGGGGTTAATACAGGCAAAAATCAACTCCTTGCACTACTACTAAAGGGACAAATAAATGGGAAGGAGAGGGAAGTCCTTAAGAGAAAAAAGGGGATGTAGGCTTTGAAAGGCAAAAAAGGGAGAAAAGGAGTCAGAGAAGGTGAATTCAGATCCTTAATGAAGAATAAGTTAGAGTCAGCCCTTACCTGTGGAAAGAAGAACTCTCAATCTAAGGTGGAAGTGTGGACTGGGGGAATGTGCCAAGAGCCCAGGGAGTAGTAAAGATGCTAAGAATAGAGACAGAGGAGCAGAGAAGAGAGACTAGACCTTTAAAAAAAAATGTAGGAGAAGGGGCTGGAGGAGTGGCTCAAGTGGTAAGAGTGCCTGCCTACCAAGGTTGATGCCCTGAGTTCAAACCCCAGTACCATCAAAAAAAAGAAAAAAAATGTAAGAGAGTCAAGGGCCTTAAGACTGCTAATTATTTTGTGTGCTCTTAATGAGCATCTTGGTGATGGGGGACTTGTGGTAAGGGACATACTGTAGAAAGTATGAGCCTTGAGAATAGTTAGAGGGTAAGGGGCAAAAAGGCAACTTTTAGGTAGAGCAACCACTAAATGAAGCAAGTGGTGAGCTTTGAGGACTTTGGGGATCAGGTCCTACATTGGAAAAGGGCTAAATAGAACCTCAAAGGTGCCCTTGGGCCCTGTCAGCATACTAAAAAAAAAGAGGATTCTGTTGAGGATGGAGAAGTAAAGGCTAGGCAGAAGACATTGGATCCTTTGTGTGTTTGTTTGCTTGAATGTCTTTAGCCTTTTATTTTTGTTGAAGAAGAGTTTGGTTTCTAGTGTCAGATTAGACAGTTAAGGGCAATCCTTAACTGTTTGAGGTATGAAGATACAATGAAATGTTAATCCTGAAATACTTACCCTACTAGGTTAGTTTAAACCTTGAAGACTGGATGGAGTTTGCTGTGAAATCTGCTATTTCTGTTTCCTTCCGAGCCAATCAGTTAGAGTGCATCAAGTGTCCACTTAAACCTACAGATCTTATTTCTTCCATTCCGTTTACAGTAGAACTTGCTAAATGTTTGTGACGTTTCAATAAACTGAAACAAGGTCCATTAGAGTAAGTAAACATACTTTGAAAGAGAGAAATAGATAGGTAAATTACAGTGCAGTGATGAAATTACATAGAACCCTGGTTTTTACACTTTTTTTTTTTCTTGGCAGTACTGGGGATTGAACCCAGAGTCTCATGCTAGGCAGGCACTCTCTCTGTCATTAAGCGAACACCCCCCAGCCTTTGTCTTTAATTTTACTTTATTTTGAGACACCACCTCATCAAGTTACTCGGGCTGGCCTCAAACTTGTAATCCTCCTGCTTTAGCCTCCCAAGTAGCTAGGATTACAGGCATGCACCACTATGCCTGGCTTGCTTTTTACACTTTTCTAACTGAGCTTATCTCCAAAGACCTCTCTAGTGAATTAGTCATGATAGTAGTGATCTACAGAGCCCACAGGTGCTACCCAGGGCCCACAGGAATTCTCTGTTTCTTGTACATTTTGAAACCTTTGGACCCAATAGAACTTTTCATAGGTCATTTTATTTAGTAATTTTCAGCCTGCTGCTATTTAGATATAAGTGCAATACCCTACCTACTGATTATTCATTAGCAAAGATAATTGCATGGCAACGCACATACACTGTTTCTGATAAAACTGTACCCATACTAACTTTCATACTAACGGTTGAATTTGTTCTTATGATAGGGGAGACTATTTACGATGCTGCAAGATCTGTTATCCCCTCTGTGCTTTTGTCATCCTCGCGGCCTGTGTTGTGGCCTGTGTTGGCTTGGTGTGGATGCAGGTTGCTCTCAAGGAGGATCTGGATGCCCTCAAGGAAAAATTTAGAACAAGTAAGTGGTCACCCTTTTTAGGGAATAATCTTGGGCCCACTTCTAGGTTCTAGGACAAATTAGCCATGCAGAACTAGGAGTTTTGTCCACTCTAGTGAGCAGTTACACATTCTGTTCAGTATTTTTATATTCTTTCTCATCTGTCAGCTTGAATATCATAACATTTATTCGTTTTTAAACCCAAAAACAGAGTCAGTGCTTATGTACCACCAGGACAAGTAGCATCTGAAATAATGACATTATAGTGAACTCTTAGAGTGCAGAAGAGAAGAGCTACAGCCCAGGAGTCTAGACCCTTAGGTAACCCCCACCTGTGGCCTGAACCTTCCCCAGGTGTAAAGTGGCAATGACAACACTGGACTGTTTCCTTCTATCTCATAGGACCAGTTGAGAAAGAATGTGGGAGTGTCTGTCAATTGATTTCCTCTTAAGAAACACATAGGAACATAGGACTAGGCAATAATAATTGTAATAGCCAACCTTATAGAATTCCTGCTATCACAAATAAATCATTCCCAAAACAGTCTTTTTTTTTTTTTTTTTTTTTTTTTTGCAGTACTTGAGGTTGAATTTAGGGCCTCTCACTTGCTAGGTAGGTGTACTACTACTTGTCACTCTACCAGCTTCCACAAAAATGGTCCTTTGAGATGAGTATTACTATATATATTTTTTGTGTGTGCTTAAAAAAAAAACAGAAACTTAGCTGGGCCTGGTGAATCATGCCTATAATCCTAACTACTTGGAAGACAGAGATCAGGGGGATCATAATTCAAGGTCATCCTGGACAAAAAGTTCATGAGATTTCCCCCTGCACCCCCACCTCAACCAATAAAAAGCTGAACATGTTGCACACATCTGTCATCCTAGCTATAGGGAAAAGATCAAGTTCCAGACCTGTCCCAGCATAAACCTGACACCCTATTCAGAAAAATAACTAAATGAGAAGGGCTGGGGTCACAGCTCAAGTGATAGAATGCCTGCCTAGGAAGTACAGGTTCAAACCCCAGTACTGCCAAAAAAAAGAAGAAGTTTAGAAGAATATGTAACTTGTTCAGTGATTAAGTGTGGCAGATCTAAGACTTACACCTGATCTTCTTGCCCCCTTGCTGCCCAAGTCTATGATTAGAACCACTACTATACTATACTATACTCTGCTTATTAGTGACCTTACCTGTTTCTAGGGAAAAGAACATTTTTAAATACCACTAATGAGTGTTACCATTTTAAAGTTTTAGGAAATCCTTTGATTCTTTGAAGTAAATTACATATTCATAAAGGGTTTGATAGTACCTACTTTGAACACTACAAAACTGACAGAAATATTTGTCTCCTGAATAGTTTTAAGGTTTATGGGTCTTTTCAAGTTAAAAGTATGATATTCACTAATCATAAAGTTACATTTTATACATCCAAACTGCTTTTTTGAAAGGTATATTAGCATAGTAGCTTCAACCAGATTTAATTTAATTTTTTTCTTTTTAAGCAACACTGAAATTTTTGGTTCTGGATTTCGAGGGTGTAATTTTCTAACTAAGCTAAGGAATTAGTTTCAACTTAAATTACAAATATGCTGACCTTAATAGCATTAGCAACACCAGGAAAGTGACCACAGGCTTTCTCAAGGCTTTTCTGGTTCCAGAACTAGAATTAGAGTTCTTAGTTTCCATCTTCAGCCTAGGAGATCACAACTTCTTACCTTTCCTTCACCCATGTTCTCTTAGCTACCTATAATTATTCAGGTGCTGAAACTGACCTAGGGACAGCAATCCTCAGTGTTAATGTAATAGTGCCTCTGGTAATGTTACTTGAAAAATAATGTTGAAATACTCACTTTGGTTTTCATCTGAGTTTCTGATTCAGGAAATGGAATTAGGTAAGCCACAATCATCTTGACCTACATAAATTTCCTCTTAATAGTTAAATCAGTAGAGCATAAGAAAGAATGAGATTTGTACCCTACTTTTTTTTTGTTTTGGGGTTTTTGGGTGTTTTTTTTTTCTCTGCTTAATGATTGTCCTTACAGTATCACACAGTGTTTCTAAGACCAGTATTTTCTTTATATGTAACAAGTCATCATAACTTGAAAACAAGGGTCCCAGAAACAATGTTTAACCATCCTAAGTATCCACTGAACACACCCCTCTGTACCATTAACTCTCCATAATTAGTTGGGCTTCCTAGGCTTGTGCCTCAGCTTGTTTTGATCACATATAGCAATTACATATTTATACATTTCAAAACATTGCTCTAAATTAAAACCACACTAAGATTCCACCTCACCCCTGTTAGAACAGCCATCATTAGCAACACCACCAACAACAGGTGTTGGCGAGGATGCGGGGAAAAAGGAACCCTCTTACACTGTTGGGGGAATGTAAACTAGTACAACCACTCTGGAAAAAAAATTTGGAGGCTACTTAAAAAGCTAAACATTGATCTACCATTTGATCCAGCAATACCACTCTTAGGGATATACCCAAAAGACTGTGACACAGGTTACTCCAGAGGCACCTGCACACCCATGTTTATTGCAGCACTATTCACCATAGCCAAGTTATGGAAACAGTCAAGATGCCCCACTACTGACAATGGATCTGGTATTCTATACTCAATGGAATTTTATGCAGCCATGAGAAGAACGAAATGTTATCATTTGCTGGTAAATGATGAATTGGAAGAAACATCATTCTAAGTGAGGTTAGCCTAGGCCCAAAAGACCAAAATCGTATGTCTCCCTCAAATGCGGACATAGATTCAAGGCAAACACAACAAGGGGATTGGACTTTGAATAGGTAAGACATCTAAAAAATTAGCTAGCATTTGGTGGCCTCAACACAGAGAAACTAAAGCAGATACCTTAAAAGCAACTGAGGCCAATAGGAGAAGGGGACTAGGAACTAGAGAAAAGGTTAGATCAAGAAGAATTAACCTAGAAGGTAACACACATGCACAGGAAATCAATGCGAGTCAACTCCCTGTATAGCTATCCTTATCTCAACTAGCAAAAACCCTTGTTCCTTCCTATTATGGCTTTTACTCTCTCTTCAACAAAATTAGAGATAAGGGCAAAATAGTTTCTGCCGGGTATTGAGGGGGTTGGGGGGAGAGGAGGGAGCGGAGTGGGTGGTAAGGGAGGGGGTGGGGGCAGAGGGGAGAAATGACCCAAGCCTTGTATGCACATATGAATAATAAAACAATAAAAATTAAAAAAAAAAAAAAAAAAACATTGCTCTATTCTGCCCTCTAGGGATTCCTTTTTCCAACTGTTGTTTGCCTATGTTTATAGGATACCCAGGATACCTTAACTGAGCTTTTCAGAAAATTTCTTTGTTTAGAAAATGTAGGACACATAGTAAACTTGATTGTCAGTCAGCAAATATTTATTGAGCACTTGTTAATACCCATCTCTAGAAATAGTATATTGAGGAGATGCCTGGAATTATAGCTTAGGCCATGGAGCCAGATTCTTACCACTGAGCAATATTCCCCCTGAGACCCTGACTAAATTTGTCAGCTATCTGAATGAATCAGGTTTATAATTGTCAATCCAGATGTTTTTCTGCCTTTTATTTGCTCTGATAGAAACATTAGCACTTATAATATCTAAAAACAAAACTTCCTGAAGGAGGGTAGAGGATGGGGCCTAGATTGTAAGTCTATAAGCTGGACTATTGTTAACTGTTTGCCTAAGAGTTTTTTGTGAAGACCAATTATCTTAACTAAATGGGGGTCAGTCTTGTTTTTGAATTATGCTTCTACTTTAAATATATTTTATTAAGTTAATTTTTACTTCTTATTTTCAACAAAACAGTGGAATTCACTGGTTCAAATAAGACTACCTGCTTATTTGGCCTTAATATCTTTTGAGAAATTCAGAGGTCTTTATTCATTTCAATAAATTTTCCAAGGTACTTGTGAGGCAAGAAGGGAGGGACTAATAAAATATCCAAAATGGAAAGCAAAAGCAGGTAGGCTTGAATTTTTCTTTGCAGTCAAGTAATTTGATCCATAAGTGAAAAGTACTGCAGACCTTGAAACTCTGAACTTGGTGTCTTTTTTCCAGAATCAGTTATTTCAAAAGACCTCCATAATGATTCTAAGGAAAATTCTATTCCCAGCCATTCCTCTTTGTCATTCCACTGTGAGACATTAGAGTAAAGGATAAAACTTTGGAAGAGAAGGAAATATATCAGGCATCTCCTTTTCTGGCCATACAGGCAAGGTAGTGAGTGGTTGGGTGTTTAGTACAGAATTTATAAATGGCCTGGTGCAAATGAGGGCTTTAGATGTATCTATCACATCTGAAGTATACTTAAAAGAGTATTGTTCCTAGGAGCAGAATGTTTGACATGAATCTTGGCTTCTCATTACTAACAATAAAATTTGGACAAGTCATGTATTCTTTCTGAGCTTTCATTTTCTTATCCATAAACCATGAAGTTGTATTATTGCCACTAAAGCACTTTGGCCATTCCTCTATTATACCATACACTATATAATAATCCTGTGACCATACCTTACTTCCCCTCTAGATGAGAGCTTCAGGGTCTTTTGTATACTGTATACACTGGTGACAGGTATAGAGCTGGTACTCAGTAGTGGATTCATAACAAGTTATTGAATAATAATTAGTTAAAAGTTTACTGCAAATTATAAAGGCTATATAAATATGAAGTATTGTTATCATTATATATGTTATCTTTAAAATGTATGTGCAGAAATTTCCATTCCCTGATCTTTTTTTCTTTATTTCTTTATTTTGGTGGCACTTGGGTTTGAACTCAGAGCCTCATGCTTGCTAGGCAGGCAAGTGTCTAATCTTAAAGATGAGAAAAATCAAAAGAACTAGGTAAATTATTTTAAGAATAAACATATTAAATTTTAAATAAGTTGCCTTCCATGCTGAAAGAACATGAATTAGTAATAATAAGTTGTTTGTTTGCTATACTCCCTCCCATTTATGTAATAAAAGTGTTTCTACTTGGCTTATCCCCTTTTGGCTCATATACTTCTCAGGATCCAGAGTGTTCTCAGAGCTTGTCAGCTTTATATATTTATTAGCTGATAATTGCAACTCAGATTCTTTATGTGTTTGTCTTATTTCCTTTTCCACTTCTACCTCCTACTTAATACATATAGACTTCAGGAAAGAGAGAGACCTTCCACCACCACCACCACCACCACCCCTTAGGATGTTTGACCGCTTTATTGTGAGGTGAACATGATAACCACCACACTACAGAAACAACTTGACCACTTTATTATGGCAGACATTGATGAGTTGGGTTTTTCTTTATAACCTAGCTGAAAATGCATAGGAAATATAGTGACATAAGAGCTGCATTCATTTAGACTGAGTAGTGAAATGTTCTTACTGTCTGAGATAAATACATTCCTAATAAACCAAGCATAAATCAAATGCTACACTAAAAGGACTTAAGAAAGTATTATTTATAATAAATCCTTTGGTATGTATTTTTTTTAAATGAATAAATATATCTAATTTTTTTTCATTCTGAATTTTTCTATAGTAGGCTTTCTTAAAATAAGGATAGTACCACCACCCTCAGTTTTTGTGGGGTTTATTGTTTTTGCTTATTTGGATTTTCGTTTGTTGAATTTTCTTTGTTAGATTGAAGAGTTAGATAAAGTGATGAGAAATGTGATTGGGAGGTAAGAAAAGGCCAGATTTATTCAGGTAGTTATTATTTGTTGAGTGACCATAATGTACCAGGTACATTCTCTAAGTGCAAACCGTACAGAAATGAACAAAATCAAGTCTTGGAGCTTACGTTTTAGTGAATTGTTTTATATTTGGTTCTTTATGCTAATTTTTGGTTTTCAAGAACATATAACTATCAGGCAATCTGTGACTTAAAAAAAAAAGATGTAGGTTTTATTCTGGAGAACAGGCCATTATCAATATTTTATTTTCCATTAAAAAGGAAAATGCTTTTTAAAGAAAAAAGAGAAAGAACTGTCTCAGGCCTCTGTCTTCAGGCTGACAAATTTCTAAGCTATTCAGAAAGATGTTGTTTCCTAAAGAAAAGTCCAAATATCACCCTATACTTCACCTAGCATATTCCTTTATCTTCTGTTCATCTTGAGATTTTGAGTTAAGAAAACACTACTATTTATGAAAAAGATTAAAAATCTTAACCCTCATAATAATATTTGAAAGGTGGTAAGACTCCACCTTAAAGTTGGCCAATTTAAAGTAGAAAAAAGAGATTTATGCTCTTAGAAGTATAATTTATAATGTCACCTTGGAAAAAAATAGAAAAATATATATAATATCACCTTGAGCATTAATGGAGTAAGGTTCATAAGTCTTCATTGACTAATCAAAAAGTTCATTATTTGGGCTGGTCAGTACCTACAAAAAGTTCATTAGGTGGACTGGTCAGTACCTAACATTTATCACTTATTGTATTGTATGTCTGGTTAGCTGTGTTAAGTGCTTTATAGCCATTCTCAATTATAACACTCCTGGGAAGTATAATCTTATCATTATATGATAGATGAGAAAATGAGGTTCAAAGAATTAGAATAATTTGCTCAAAATCATAGTAAGTTACAGAGTAGAAATTCATATCCAACTCTTTTTGTTCATGTTCTTTGTTATAATTTTTAGTCACTTGCCTTCTTTGTTGTTTTGTAGTGCCAGGATTGAACGGAGGGCCTTTCACATGCTAGGCTAGGACTATATCAATGAGCCACACCCCCAGCCCAAGTCACCTGTCTTTTAAAAATTTCATTGCCAGTAGTGAAGTAGCTCCAGCTAAAATGGAGATTTAGTGTTAAAGGTACACATTTACATAAATAAAAGAATAATGTAGTTTGTAAATATGGATTAAATCATTATCATCCCAGAATTATATTAATTCATCTTCTTTTCTACCCTGTGATCACTTTTTCATCTTGGGACCATGAAGGAACCTTGCATCTGTTTATGATTGTTCTTATTTTTGCTTTTAGTGGAATCTAATCAGAAAAGCTCATTCCAGGAAATTCCCAAACTTAATGAAGAACTACTCAACAAACAAAAACAACTTGAGAAGATTGAATCTGGAGAGCTGGGCTTGAGCAAAGTCTGGATCAACATCACAGAAATGAATAAGCAGGTAGCAAAAGTATGATTTTATTTCTGTGTTAAGATACCAATATTTAGGTTGGTTGGTTGTTTAGTATGAATTTATAAGTATAGGAAATTCACTTTAGGTTGTTTGACTTTTTAATTACCAAAATTTAAAATGCACTTACCAAATATTTTAAATGCTAATCCTTTCTGCAAATGAAGAGTTCCACCAAGTTAGAGCAGTATAGAGGAAGTTGGGGAAAAAAAAAATTTTTTTTTTCCCCCATGGGACTAGGGTCTAAGCAGGTGCCATACCATATGAACCACATTTGCCTGGGCTAGCCTTGAACTATGATCCTCCTAGTATTAGCCTGCCAAGTAGCTAGGATTACAGGTGTGAGCCACCAGCACCCAGCTGGGAGTTGGAAATTCTTAGTCAACTTTTTCTGTGAAACAGTGTAGGTATCAAATAGAAAAGGAGTGTTACCTACACCAACCCAAAGAAAAATAGATAGCTTATTGTTATTAGATAATAAGCTTTATTTTGTTTAAGAGTTTATAAACTTACAGATTCAGCCTTGTGGTGTACTACTATATACTGTCCTAAAATAAATCTGGAAACCATCAATAGCTAATTGTAGTCCGTCTAGAATAGCATAGGAGCAGGCGGTAGAGTTAGTTAAATACCAGGCAAGCAAGCATAGAGCATAAGCTTTTCCAGTCCCTAAGTTGTTCAGAGCTCAGTAGACATTGCTTCCAGAAGGAAGAATCTACCGAAGAAAAGACATTAATTTTAAGGGTGTTGATAAGCATTTTGTATGTATAAGGGTCTAAAGTTATTACTGGATAACCATAGTCCCTGTCCTAGTTTTTTCAGTTTAGTTAGAAAACATAATGGTCATCGAAAACAAAACTGAAGTACCAAATGAATGGTATACATGCAAAGTTCTTAAAAATAAATATATTGTCTTTGTTGGGACTAAGAAGATATTCTCTTCAGAAGAGTCACAAAGTCCAGAATGAGCCAGTAGGAAGAAGCACTGTGCTAGAAGAAAGTGCTTGAAAATATTTCTGAGGTTACACCTTTCAGTAGCAGTTTAGGAATGGGGCAGTTCAGTACTTAAAACCAAAGATTAGTGGCCTAGGGAAGAGACTTTTAAACTTTTGCCCGAAACAGTAAGGAATGTTTTACATCATTGCCCAATAAACACCTACATAACTGTGCTATGGCTTGAATGTGTTCTCTAGTTCATGCTTTGGAAACTTAATCCCCAGATTCATATGTTAATTGTATTTGGAGGTAGAGCATTTGGGAGATAATTAGAATTAAACAAGATTCTGAAGATAGAGCCTCCATGATGGTATTATAAGAGGAAGAGAGACTCAAGCTAGCACACTTGTTCTTTTCATCACATTTGCATGTTGCCCTCTGTTATGTTATGATGCAGAAAAAAGGCCCTCACTAGATGCTGGCTTCCCAGACTATAGATAGAACCTTGAGCTAAATAAACCCAGTGTGTGGTATTCAGTTATAGCAACAGAAAATGGACTTAAGGCATTGTATGGAACCAAAATGGGTTTCTTTTTTTTTGATGGTACTGGAGTTTGACTCTGGACCTCACACTTGCTAGGCAAGTACCCTACCACTTGAGCTACCCTTCCAGCCCTGTGTTGGGTATTTTTTTGAGATAGGGTCTTGCTTTTTGCCCAGGCTGGCCTTGAACCTCGATCCTCCTGATATCTGCCTCCTGAATAGCTAAGATTACAGGCATGAGCCACCATTGCCCAGCTGAAATAAGTTTCCAAAAGCAGTCGCTCACCTGTAATATATATATCATGCTTTATGATATTTTATTTTCTATTCATTTCTATTTTGGTTTTTTTGACAATGCATGAAGTAATTGCTAGGTTTGAGCACCTAGTATTTTTTTATTGTTTATTTATTCATATGTGCATACACTGTTTGGGCTATTTCTGGCCCCTGCCCTCTGTCTCCCACCCCCTGCCTCTGTCCCCAATCCCCCTCATTTCCAGGCAGAATCTGTTCTTCCCTCTTCTCCAGTTTTGTTGAAGAGAAGACATAAGCAGTAATAAGAACGACATAGTGTTTTTGCTAGTTTGAGATAAGGATAGCTATACAGAGAGATTCCTAACATTAGCACTTAGTATTTATTACTAGTTGTCATTTATCTTTTAAATCTGAGTAATTAGGAATAAACAGATATTCATTCCTTTTGTGCATTCTTTTGAATAGGGTAAACTTTAGCCTTGCTTATATTCACTTAGCAAATGAACAATTTGACCAGAGTTTATGTCAAGTGAAAGTAGACTACACTGGTGCTCTGAAGCCTGTCTCCTGCCTCTTTCCTGAGGCAATCATAGAGTTAACCATTCTAAGACAAAGATGAGATTATTTAGCATGAAGAGGCAAAAATCAGCTGTCTATTTCCCATTTCCTTCTTATAAATTGACACAGAAGGAGTCAAAGTGGAAATTGGTACTTGGTGTGAGAAGACACATAGATTTTCAAATCTTTGGTTTTGGTTTCTGAGTTCTCTTTAACCAGGAATCTGGACACATACCAAAAAAAATCATTTTATTCTTGGCCTGACCATTGTTAATGCAAGAAGTTCCTGAGAAGGTAGATATGTAGGGAAGTTTATCTCAACCTAGGGCTTTATATATGAAACTGGGTTGAACTGAAACCCTTTTCCATTTTAACTTTGATATACCTTCAGGGATTCTGGGACGATGCAAAGGAATTTTCTGCTGACCTAGGCCCGGAAAAGTAGGCAGTGGTGAAACAGAGCTTCGTGTAGTTTCCAAAGGGAGCTTGGCACTCTCTTAGTGGTTTTTCTAAAATTAATGTTGTACATCTCTGATAGTCTATTCAATTAAGAGGCATTTGTCCTGGACCAAAATAAGTATAAAAATAAAATTAATATTTAACTGTTTCTATATCTAAAGGTAACTGTCAGTTAAGATGCTTTTAGTGGCATTTTTAAAGCAATTTAGAGTGGCTTAAACAATAAGAAAATATCTTATATCACTTAACAACTGTCCTTATCACAAAATGAGATGAAGTTAATGTAGTCTGAAAAAAAGCCATCAGTTTAAAAAAGTTAAAAATCAAAATTTGCCTTGAAAAATCTGTACTCATACTTGAAACCTCATTTACATTTCTTGTTTTATTCATGAAACCTCTAATATTATAACCATTCTTCTCGAATCCCCCACAAGCTTGTCCTAGAAACCTTAACTGGGGGGCGATGGGAGATGCCAGAAAAGATAAACAGACAAAAGACCAAACATGTACAAAGCTGGGGCCAGGTAAGCTGTGTGCTCGGATGGAGACACACCAGCCCCCTTCACCTCCAGTGAGTTTATTATATACAGTAGCAACACAAGGCGGAGAGGCATTTCTCAGGGGAGGGGGCTGACATTGTAGTCCTCGGGAATAGGAGGAACCTGTGACAGCTTCTCTCTGAACGTAAACATTAAAGGAGAAACAACTGTACTGCATCTTGCCCACTTCTGCAGCTGAGGCTATGCCAATCCAAGCATGCACTGTTCTGGGCACAACTATATTTGCTCCCTTCTGCAGTTTGGGGCTGTGCCAGACTCAAACACACAGTTTATTCAATACACCTGTCGGCTCCCAACACATTCCCTCTTGACCATTATAAAAATCTCCTTTCCTTTCTTTGAAGATCATTAATTCAATAAATGTTTACTGAGCTGCTTTTATGGGACTAGGCCTTGGATTATATCTTAGTCCATTCAGGCTGCTATAACAGAATACCTTAGACTGGGTAGTTTATAGTAACAAATTTATTGCTCACAGTTCTGAAGGATGGAAAGTCTAAGATCAAGGTGTCAGCAGATTTCAACATATAAATTTTAGGGGGACACAGATATTCAGACTGTAGTAGTTTTAAAATAAAGATATGATTCCTTTCCTCAAGGGCCTTACAGACAAATGGAAGAGACAAGAATGTAAACAATTTTAATCTGCCTGTCAAGCAATAAGAAGCAGGTTCAAATGATACTATGGGGACATATTTAAATATACAGCCAAACCAGGCTGGGGTCAGGCCAGGTGAATTCTGTAGAAAGAAAGGAGGGTACTCTCGATAAAATAGTACAGCCTGAGCTTCATAATTTGTGAGTTTCATATTCGCAAATTCACCTACTTGCTAAAATTTATTCATGATTCCAAAATCTGTACTTACAAGGCTTTTGCAATCATTCATTGGCATGCACAGCAGAAAAAAAAAAATTTGAGTCACTCACTATACAACAGAGGTTGAACAAGGCAGCATGCTGCCCTCTTGTTTCAGGTCTTGTACTATAAACAAGTGTCTTGTGGTATATTTAGTGTCACATTGTTCACATTTTTATACTTTTGTTGATTTCATTATTAAATGTTCCCCAGGCGTAGTGCTAAAGTGCTGATGCTAAGTTCAAGGAAACTGATGCACCATGTGAAGAAAATACTTATGTTAGGTAGACTTCCTTTAGGCATGACTTCTAGTGCTACTGGCTGTAAGTTCAATGTTATGAGTCAACAATATGCATTAAATAAGATGTTTAAACAGAAACACAGATAAGACAAGGTTATGTATTTCACTGACAGGTTAATGAAAATGTTGTGATCAGAAGGCTCATAGGATCCTAATCCTGAGTCCCTCAAGAGCAATGGTTTACCATTCACTAATTCAATGTTTACTTCAGCTTTTTAGATGTTCATGACCTGGTAACAAGAACTGACTATCTGTAAAAGAATAGATGATTGAAACATAGTATGTTCAGGGAATTTTAGTCCTTCCTTATGCTCTAGTTGGTAGAAAGAGGATAAAGTAAGCAAATAAGAGTCATTATGAAGAAGGCCTTTATGAAGAAAGACCTTGGGTATCCTTCTGTGTGCTTTCTGTGTCTCATTTTTAGACACTCAGCCAAATACTTTGAGATTTGTGTATGTGTGTAATTTGTGTGTGTGCGGTTTGTACTAGAAGGTTGTACTAAGAGTTTTAAGCATGTGATTAT